TCATTTCTGTTTTGCCAGACTTTAACAGCACCATTTTTAAATTGGGAAAGCATCTGATCACACCGATCTTGGTGCAAGAGCAGACTTGGAGACCTTTCCAACTGAGCATCCACTGGGTTACTGGCTCTTGAGGATGGATCACTGGCCAGTACTTGCTCAATATGCCATCGAGCTACTGGCCTGTCCTACATCCAGCGTGCTTTCCAAATGGACATTTAGTGCTGCTGGTGGTTTTGTGACGGATAAAAGGGTAAATCTGTCCACATACTCCATTGACCAGCTGACATTTATCAAAATGAATCAGTCCTGGATCAACAGCAGGTATCAAGCCCCTGATGCTGATATAACTGATTAAATTTGTTATGGATCTGGGATCCCTTGAAGACTGCCTATGCTGCCTATCCTATTCCTGAGTCCTGATTATGCTAGCTTCCAACAATGTTTTTGGTTTTGGGCACCACCAACACCCAAGGCCCAATTTTTCTGCACCTGTTTGACAGGTGCATCTAATTTAAACGTTTTACATTTTTTTCTAATTTTTAACAGCAGTGTCCAATCCTGCGCCCAGCAAGAGTAATTGTGAGTGGTTATAGTGCTCAGGCAACACCAACACCCAAGGCTCAATTCTTCTGCACCTGTTTGACAGGTGCATCTAATTTCAGTTTTATGGGGCCTCCTGTATCCCCATCAACATTTAAGCCACACCCACACAAACCCCATCTACTTATTGCACTGCCCACATTAGATGCGTTCAAATCTACCCTCTTTAACTGCAGGGGCAGCAGATAAGGATGTACACATGCTGTGGCAGGAATTATACTCCCTGGCACTTTTGGTGGGTGATTGCAACCCTTTCAAGTGAATGGGGCCACTCTGCAAACACCCTGCAACCTTGTGCAATGTACAGAGTTGCAGCGTGCTAGTGTGGGATCCAGGGGGTTAAAGCAGGTGGTGAGGAGGCAAGACAACGCCTCCTCATTGCCTGCTTTAACTCCTTCATTTCTGTACTGCACAAGGTTGCAGGGCCCTTGCAGAGTGACCCCATTCACTTGAATGGGTCATGCTTGGCAGGCGTTATACTTTCCAAGTGTGACAGGATGTATAATTTCTTCTGCGGCTGCAACATGTGTACCCTCCCCCCCAGCTACTGTAGCTGAAAGGGTGCGGTTGGGGGAGATAAAACGGCTCAACTATGAGGTTTTACCACCCCCCCAAACTGCAAGTGTAAACAAGCCCTTACTGTCCTGAGCCCCCTATTACAGTTGCTTTTTAGGGGACCCCTGGGATGAGGACAGAGAGGAGTCCCTGGGATGAAGACAGAGAGGGGGCCCCTGGGATGAAGACAGAGAGGGGTCCTGGGAGGAGGACACAGAGGGGCCCCCGGGGTAAGGACAAAGAAGGAACCTAAGATGAGGAAAGAGTGGGATCCTAGGAGAAGGACTGAGAGGGGCCCCTGGGATGAGGGCAGAGAGGGAATCCTGGGATGAGGACAGAGAGGGGTCCCTGGGATGAGGACAGAGAAGGGGCCTCTTGGATGAGGATAGAGAAGGGGCCTCTTGGATGAGGACAGAGAGGGGTCCCTGGAGGAGGACAGAGGTCCCTTCTCACATGCCCATTGCACTTCTGTGGCAGGCGGCATCTCTTTGATTTCAGGGAGAGGATGGTAAGAGGATAGGTGCTGAGGGGGTGCTTTGGGAGGGGACAGGACTCCCCTTCCAAAGCACCCCCTCAGCACCTATCCTCTTACCCTTCTCTCCCATCACTCCTCCATGTGTGCATCCTCGTTACCTGCCCCCCCTCCTCTGCAACCATCCATTAACTATACACAGGCCTCAGATAACCAATGCGGCTCTTGAATTATAATGTCCCTCCTCCCCGGCTCCTCCTGTCTGTATACATGAGACATCGGAGTCGAGGAGGATCCCCAGTGAGCCCTGTGTGGTGCACGGGCTGTCAGTGGGGAGAGATGCTGGTGTTGGCTGCAACAGAGGGGTGATCACTGCGTGTGGGACCCTGGGCAATTTGAAATGTGGGGAACGTAATCCAAGTGCCCATGCTAGTACGACCCTAGTAGTAATTGGCCTGACAGGGCCTCTGGGATTCAGCGCAGATTAGTCAGAATGGAGGTACCCTGAGCCTCTCGTGGGGCTCCCTACTGGCCTCGGGCGGTGCCCGAGAGCCCTACTGGTCAGTCCGCCCCTAGACGAGACTATACGTTGGCCTTTCCTATTGGGCTGCATGGCCTTTTTATGTGCTACTATTGTCACTGCGTTTGTCTGTTGCCCATGCGTTCCACCTGGCTAGTAATATGTCGGATGGCTGCCTCACAGATGATAGAAAGGGGTTAGACTACACATTGACTATGCAGTTTTTTTCATAGAACACTCCAGGGTTTTTAGGATATTTGGGCACTCTTCCAGCAGCTGGAAGAACATACTACAAATACCTTGATGGAGTGTATAGTAAAAAAAATGCATGTCTGCCCCTGCCCTAGAGAAGCTTATAATCTTTGTTTCCTAAAAAAATCAAATGCCCTTACACCATGGGCAGCTGTAACAGAATTCCACATGATGCACATTTTACCAGAAGCCACTTAATCTTTCAGAGGTGTACTAAATAAACAAGAAGAGAACATACACACTCTATGCAGAAAAATGTGTGGAAAAAATTCACCCGTGACTACAGTGTTGCAAGGCCACAGTACTAACTGCATAGCCACCGTGATGATACAATAAGCTAGAACATACAGAACCATAAAAATTACTTGAAAATTATGTTCAAAATCAAGCATCCTGATTAAAAAATTCAGTGTAAAACAAAATGAGCGAACAGTTTAATTCAATATATTACGCTTACAGTATCTCACAGAAGTGAGTCCACCCCTCACATTTTTGTAAATATTTTATTATATCTTTTCATGTGACAACACTGAAGAAATGACACTTTTCTGCAATGTAAAGTAGTGAGTGTACAGCTTGTATAAACAGTGTAAATTTGCTGTCCCCTCAAAATAACTCAACACACAGCCATTAATGTGTAAAACACTGGCAACAAAAGTGAGTACACCCCTAAGTGAAAATGTCCAAATTGGGCCCAAAGGTGTCCTTTTATGACACAGAGAATAGCTGCGATTCAACAGATCTCAGCTATTCTCTGGTCATTCACAGTTTATAACACTTAGGAGATCCTGTCAGCCCTTCTCTGGAGATCTGTGTTCTCCGTCCAGATTCTCCAGCCCAGAGCTGGAGAATCAGAGGGACCGAAAACTAAGCAGAGATAATTTACCTCTGTTTAGTAAACTGGTCTTTTACTATAATCTGGAGAGATTATAGTAAAATGAGCCGTTTTTTCAGAGTTTGTAGACCGTTATCCAGCGTTTGGAAGCGTTCTCCCTTCGTTCGGAGAACTGCTTCATAAACTGCACTCACAGGAGAACTTTGTTCTCCGAGAATGCCGGAGAACTGAGCAGCGATCTATTACCTCTGGTTCACAAACGGACACCAAAGTGTCAATATTTTGTGTGGTCCCCATTATTTTCCAGCACTGCCTTAACCCTCTTGGGCACGGAGTTCATCAGAGCTTCACAGGTTACCACTGGAGTCCTCTTTAACATCCACCAGCTTCTTGATGTCATCATGGAGGAGTGGGAGACCTTGCGCTCCTCCACCTTCCGTTTGAGGATGCCCCACAGATGCTCAATAGGGTTTAGGTCTGGAGACATGCTTGGCCAGTCCATCACCTTTACCCTCAGCTTCTTTAGCAAGGCATTGGTCATCTTGGAGGTGTGTGTTTTGGGGTCGTTATCATGTTGGAATACTGCCCTTCGGCCCAGTCTTCGAAGGGAGGGGAGCATGCTCTGCTTCAGTATGTCACAGTACATGTTGGCATTCATGGTTCCCTTAATGAACTGTAGCTCCCCAGTGCCGGCAGCACTCATGCAGCCCCAGACCATGACACTCCCACCACCATGTGTCAGGAATCAAGGAATGACCAGAAAGGTGTGGACTGGCACAGGGAAACGCTGGTCTCAGGTATAGTATAATACAGGTTATTATTAGCCACCCCGATATATATATATATATATATATATATAAACGCACAGTGAGCAAACTAACCTTCCACTAATATTAGGAGGTGCAGGAACACAGGCGTAGTCAGGGCTGGAGAGGTGGAATGGTCAGGCCGGCCGTAGGGTTCTGTAACGACTGCCTGGTGGGTACCTCTAGCGGTCCTCAGGGCAGGATTCCCCAGGGCGCGGAGTCTAAGTCCCAGTCTGCTATTCACCAGGGCCCCTGATGGTGGGGATGGACTTGGAGCAGACAGGAACCAGGTCGCGGCCCCTGAGTACACCTGCTAGTGATAGAGGGATCCGCCAGAGGTATGTGCAGGTACAGCTGGATCCGTGCAGGATGGATGGATGGCAGAGTAGTGAGCGTGGTCAGACGGCCAAGTCAGCAACGTGTGGGCAGCAAGGTATCAAAGGAGCAGGCAGAGAATGGTCAAGGTCACAAGCCGGGTTCAGTAACTCACGGACAGCGCAGTACAGAGGATCAGGCAGAAGGATGGTCAGGGATGAGCCAGTAGTCAGAACAGGAGACGGTCAACAGGAATCAGAATCAGGCAGGGTCGGCAACAAGGTATCTTCTCACAGGAACTAGGAACAGGATACAGGGGCTCATGGGGAGACATACACCAAGGCACAGAGCACAGGCCTGGTCATGCCTTATATACACCTTTCTGTAATCAGCCCCAGGTTTGGCTGATTGTGAGCTTCTGGCTGCTAAGAGCACCCGCTGGTCAGCTCTGGTACTGCAGCCCACACGGCAGGAGAGTCCCACCACCAGTGCTGAGAGCACCCGCTGGTCAGCTCTGGTACTGCAGCCCACACGGCAGGAGAGTCCCACCACCAGTGCTGAATCCATTCCTGACACCATGCTTGACTGTAGGCAAGACACACTTGTCTTTGTACTCCTCACTTGCTTGACACCATCTGAACCAAATAAGTTTATCTTGATCTCATCAGACCACAGGACATGGTTCTAGTAATCCATGTCCTTAGTCTGCTTGTCTTCAGCAAACTGTTTGCCGGCTTTCTTGTGCATCATCTTTAGAAGAGGCTTCCTTCTGGGATGACAGCCATGCAGACCAATTTGATGCAGTATGCTGCGTATGGTCTGAGCACTGACAGGCTGACCCCCCCCCCCACCCCTTCAACCTTTGCAGCAATGCTCGCAGCACTTATATGCCTATTTCCCAAAGACAACATCTGGATATGACGCTGAGCACGTGTTCTCAACTTCTTTGGTTGACCATGGCGAAGCCTATTCTGAGTGGAACCTGTCCTGTTAAACTGCTGTATGGTCTTGGCCACCGTGGTGCAGCTCAGTTTCAGGGTCCTGGCAATCTTCTTATAACCTAGGCCAGTGGTGGGCAACCTTTTTTTTTCAACTGAGCCAAATCTCGCCAAAACCATGATTGAAATTTATTTTGAGAGCCACATTTTTAAAACTGAAAATACATCTCCCATATAGTAATTCATCCCCCATATAGTAATTCATCCCCCATAGTAATTCATCCCCCCCATAGTAATTCATCCCCCCTATAGTAATTCATCCCCCATATAGTAATTCATCCCCCATAGTAATTCATCCCCCCCATAGTAATTCATCCCCCATAGTAATTCATCCCCCATATAGTAATTCATCCCCCATAGTAATTCATCCCCCATAGTAATTCATCCCCCGTATAGTAATTCATCCCCCGTATAGTATTTCATCCCCCGTATAGTATTTCATCCCCCGTATAGTATTTCATCCCCCCATATAGTATTTCATCCCCCCATATAGTATTTCATCCCCCCATATAGTAATTCATCCCCCCTATAGTATTTCATCCCTCATATAGTAATTCATCCCCCCTATAGTATTTCATCCCTCATATAGTATTTCATCCCCCCATATAGTATTTCATCCCCCACAGTACTATTCCCCCCCCCCTTCTAGTAAGCCAAGTCCCCCGTGTCAATTCACTTACCTTTCCTCTCGCTGTCTTCCCGCGCCGTTCGGGTCTTCAGGGCGGACTGTGAGAGGAGCCTAGCTCCCCTCCCCTCACGTTCGGCACGCTGCCCCGCCTACACACATCCTGACAGCCACATCCGCGGGCCGGATTAAAAGGTCCGCGCGGACTTTTGGGGCGGCCAACCGAGAGGAGGCAGGGGAGCGGCCGACCGAGAGAGAGGGAGGGGAGCAGGCGCCCGGCACACAGAAGAGCCGCATTAGAGTGTGTAAAGAGCCGCATGTGGCTCGCGAGCCGCGGCTCGCCGACCACTGACCTAGGCCATCTTTATATAAAGCAACAATTCTTTTTTTCAGATCCTCAGAGTTCTTTGCCATGAGGTGCCATGTTGAACTTCCAGTGACCAGTATGAGAGAGAGAGAGAGCGATAACACCAAATTTAACACACCTGCTCCCCATTCACACCTGAGATCTTGTACCAAAGACGAGTTACATGACACTGGGGACGGAAAATGGCTAATTGGGTCCAATTTGGACATTTTCACTTAGGGGTGTACTCACTTTTGTTGCCAACGGTTTAGACATTAATGGCTGTGTGTTGAGTTATTTTGAGGGGACAGCAAATTTACACTGTTATACAAGCTGTACACTCACTACTTTACATTGTAGCAAAGTGTGGGCACATGAAAAGATATAATAAAATATTTACAAAAATGTGAGGGGTGTACTCACTTCTGTGAGATACTATATATGCTAAAGTGCTGAATAAATTTAAATAAAATTACAATATCAAAACATCAACAAATATGACAGAAACCAACAACATAACAGCAACTAAAGTAAAATAAACAACTGACTTCACAAAATGGTATTCAGCGGACGTGCATGAGGAATGAATGTATATGTATTATGTTTTTGTAGAGAAAGAAAAAGGGTGAATAGCACTTGCAACAAACCATTCAGTGCCAACAATCAGAGCCTCACCCAGCAGGTGAAATATATGAGAATTCAGAGCAAAAAGGGGTTGCAGCACTAAGGGCCTATTCTCATCAGATGCTTATAGGGGCTAGAGTGACAACTATTTCCAATGCACCCCCAACACACAGACAAGGCAAACTGCCTTGTTTCCTATGGTGACAGTTCACGCAGGCAGTACCTTTTTTTAGTATGGTAGGTTACAATGCGAACCACAACATCTCAATGCTGCTGCAGTAAATAGTAAAGTATTGAAATGTCACTCTTGTGTTCTATGAAAAAAGTAAACAGAGCTCATACCAGTGGCCATGCATTCAGCATGATTTGCTTGTGTGAATAAGCTCTAAATATATTTACTTCAATAGAATACGTACAATTTTCAAATGTTTTGGGTATCATGCCCTCATCAGGCAAAGTAACAGATCTGATACATTTTGACCACTAATTTTTTAAATATTTACACCCATCAAGATTAAAGAGAAAGTGCACTTGTTTATTGTATTTGCACATTTCCTCCTCCTCCATGTACATTTGTGAACAGGGGAGCCACAGGTGCTGTGTACAGTCATCCATATACTAAAATGGCTGTATACATGTAAATACTGATGGCTTTTACATTGGCGTTTATCTGTGCATGGGGCATTGTTCACTGAATACACCAATTTTTTTGAACATTCTTTATTTATATAGCTTTTACACAGAACAAACATACAACAATAAGTAGGCAGATGCCGCCATAAAAGACAACGAACCAGGTTCACTCCAGATACATAAAAAATCAAATTGCCATCCCCAAAAACAGCATAGTGTAATACACTGGGCCGAGAGTCAATACAAACAGACAAGTCTGCTAACAATAAGCAAACACTAACACATCCAAAACAGGAAAAAAAAAGAAAGGAAAGAAGGGAGAAGAAAGAAGAGGAAAAGAAGAAAAAAAAAAAGGGGGGGGGGGGGAGGAATACAACAGAGAATGGAAGAAGGGATAAAAGCCACAGCAAAGGGGCAAAAAGAAAATGATGAAGGGACTTCAAGCCATCAAGTGCAGCAGGGAATCATATTCACTTGAGAAGGTAAAGAGAGACCAGTGGATCCATCTCTTGACCCTGAACCACCGCCATAATATTTTCCATCACCACTTTTAACGTTTGGGGTTTTAACACCACTTTAATGTTTGGAGAATGACACCATACGTGCATGTAAAATGATAATACACAGTTCATTGGTGTTTACACAATACCTGCCGTTCTTCGGGCACGGGGAAGCACTGGGTATTTTATGATAGACGTACGAGTGCATGAGGATTTAACAGGACACTTTTGTGGGAATGTTTTTTCTATAGTGACATCATGAAGACATGTGCATACAGTTTTTTTTTGTATCTGGAGTTGAGGAAGCACGGCTGATTTTACACCCGTTTTCAGTTGGTGCAGCAACTGTCTTTGTGGTTCAACCAGGGGCGGACTAAAAAACTCATGGGGCCCTTGTGTCCTTGCCCAAACTCAAAAAAGCCTATGAGAAAGGTACCAGGGGCATCTCATGGGGCCCCCTACTGACTCCGGGCCCTCGGGCAGTGCCCAGATTTCCAAATGGTCAGTCCGCCCCTGGGTTCAACACATGGCAGTTATCATGCTTGATGAATTGTGGCAAAGCACATAGCAGGTATCCAGGGGAGGTGATCATCATAATCATGGAATGACAAGCTGCCATGTACATGAGAGAAAGCATGAAAATTGCACAATATGTATATATCTATGCACTTAAATCAGCCTGAAAATAAATGCATATAAATTCATGTAAAATGGCCTGTCTCATTTTTAATGCAGAGTGCATATGTGTACCGCATATGTGGACTGTATTTTTGTGGCTTTACAAAACGTACAAAAAAAAAAACAGATCCCAACCAGGCTTTAAACCTAACATTTCATATTACTGATATGTACCTGCTGTACCATGTACAAAAGGAACAAATAGTGTTTGTAATTTTTTTTATATGTATACACACGTTTTGCCTTTCATTTCAATTTTAAACTGAATGGGTGAGGGTTTGCATATACTTTAAAGGCTAATTTCTCCTTTAGGAACAGGTTACACCTGTAGGGTGTCACATTATTATTATTATTATACAGTATTTATAAAGCGCCAATAGTTCGCTCAGCGCTGTACATTACAAAGGGGGACAGAACAAGTGACAGAACAACAACACTACAATGCAAAACATGAGGGGATCGAGGGCCCTGCTCTTTCGAGCTTACAATCTAGGAGGGAGGGGATGGTGGCACAGGAGGAGATAGCTGTGGGTGATGAGGTGGTAGGAAGAGTGGAGGAGGTTGGCAAGTTAGCAGGGGGTGGGGTAGGCTTCCCTGAAGAGGTGGGTTTTCAGGGTGCGCCTAAAGGAGAGGAGAGTAGGTGATAATCTGATGGGTTGGGGCAAGGAGTTCCAGAGGATGGGTGACACCCTGGAGAAGTCCTGGAGGCGGGCATGGGAGGAGGAGACTAGGGAACTAGAGAGAAGGAGGTCTTGTGAGGAGCGGAGTGTGCGTGCTGGGGGTACTTGGATATTAGGTCAGTGATGTAGTTCAGGGCAGTATGGTGGACGGCTTTGTACGTCAGTGTTAGGATTTTGAATTTGATCCGTTGCGCAATCGGAAGCCAGTGGAGGGATTGGCAGAGGGGGGTGACGGAAATGGAGAGGTTGGAAAGGTGAATGAGTCTGGCAGCCGTATTCAGGATCGACTGAAGCGGGGATAGCCAGCAGCGAGGCAGGCCAGTAAGGAGGGAGTTGCAGTAATCGAGTCGTGATATGATGAGGGAGAGGATGAGCTGTTTAGTGGTTTCCGGGGTTAGGAACGTGCGTATTTTGGCGATGTTGCGGAGTAGGAGTCTGCACGAGCTTGTTAAAGATTGGACTTGGGGCTGGAAGGATAGGTTGGAGTGCAGAATGACACCAAGTACTCTGCCTGAGGGGCGGGTTTGATGGTGGCGTTGTTGGATGTGATGGAGAAGTCAATGGGGGGTGGTGTCCGGGCTGGGGGGAAGACAAGAAACTCGGTTTTGAAGAGGTTCAGTTTAAGGAAGTGCAGCGACATCCAGTCTGATATGTCGCTCAGTAGGTGTGTGATTCGGGCGGAGACTGAGGTGGTGAGGTGGGGGGTTGAGAGATAGATTTGTGTGTCGTTGGCATATAGGTGGTAGTAGAAGCCGTGAGAGTGTATTATTTGGCCAAGGGAGGAGGTGTAGATGGAGAAGAGAAGGGACCCGAGGACAGAGCCTTGAGGGACCCCAACATAGAGGGGGAGGTGGTAGCATTATAGGTAACGCTGAAAGACCGTTGTGACAGGTAGGATGAGAGCCAGGAGAGAGCAGAATCTCTGAGGCCAAGGGAGTGTAGTTTTTTGAGGAGGAAGGGGTGTTCGACTGTGTCGAAGGCCGCAGAGAGGTCAAGGAGTAGGAGCACTGAATAGTGGCCATTAGCTTTGGCAGTTACCAGGTCGTTGGAGAGTTTAAGAAAGGCAGTTTCGGTGGAGTGTAGGGGATGGAAGCCGGACTGTAGGGGATCGAGGAGGTTGTTGTCGTTGAGGTGAGAGCTTAGGCGGGTGTAGACTAGGCGCTCGAGGAGTTTGGATGCAAATGGGAGCAGGGAGATGGGTCTAAGGTTGTTCGGGTCATTGGGGTCCAGGGAGGGCTTTTTAAGTACGAGGGTGATGTGTGCATGTTTCAGAGGGGAGGGGAAAGTGCCGGAGGAGAGGGAGATTAAAGATGTGGGTGAGGAAGCGTAGGATGGAGGGGGAGGGAGATCGTAGGAGTTGTGAGGGGATAGGGTTGAAGGGGCAGGTGGTGAGGCGGGCATCAGAGAGGATCTTGGAGACTTCCTCGATGGTAGTAAGGTCAAAGGTGCGGAGTGTTGGGGGGGGCTTCAGTATGAGGAATGTAGCGTGGGGTGGAAGTGGAGGTCAGAGCAGTGGTGGGGCCATGGGAGAAGGGTGATGAGGGGGTAGCAGAGTGAGGGGGAATGGGGTTGGAGGGAGTTTGAGCAGCGACGAAGTCCCTGCGGGTTATGTCGAGGGAGAGGGGGGATGAGGGGGTAGCTGTGTGAGAGGGGACGGGTTGAGAGGGCATGTGAATTGTGGCGATGTCCTTGCGAATTGTGTCAATTTTTTTTTTAAGTGATTGGCAATCTCAAGGGCGGTGAGTGAGGTGCTGGGTGGAGGTGGGGGTGGCGAGAGTAGAGAGTTGAAGGTGGAGAAGAGTCGGCGAGGATTGGAGGAGAGGGCCATGATGAGGGTCAGGAAGTAGGCTTGTTTGGCTGCGTGGAGGGAGGAGGTGTAGGTGTGGAAGGCAAATTTGTAGCGGGTGAAGGCTTGTTGGGATTTGGTTTTGCGCCATAGTCGCTCCAAGGTACGACTGTGTCGTTTGAGGGTTTTGGTGTGATCAGTCTGCCAGGGCTGGAGCGGTCAGGGTCTGATGTTGCGTGTGGTTAAAGGCGCTAGTGAGTCAAGGGTTGTTGTAGGCAGTCATAGCCAAGTCGGGGCAGGACAGGGGGAGGATGCTGTCGTGGAGTTGA